TATTTCTTTACTTTCCAAACCAACATGACCATAGGAAATGTAGTGCCTAAATTGGTGATATGAAAAGCTTTAAACCAAAAGTTGGGCAAATATTCTTGGCTTGAGGAAAAATATTTTAGTTTTCTAATTAAGTGGGTATTTAGACGCCGTATCAAAGCTTTATCTATAAATAGTTTTGTTTAAATAGTGTATATTTTGGTTCGCTTAATAACGAGGGTACTTATAAGTATTTAAGCTTCATCTATAAATACTATTTTTAAAGAGTGTACATTTTGGTTCGCTCAATAACGAGGGTACTTATAAGTATTTAAGCTTTATCTATAAATACTGTTTTTTTTTAATTAAAGAGTGTACATTTTTGTTTACTATAGGAACAAACTTCGCCTTTTGTGTGTCTGAATTTGATTTATCAAATTTGATCTTTAAGATATGCCACTAATTTAATTATGACAAAGAATATAGATGCATCAAACAAAATCACATCGCTCTTTTTCTCATTTACAAAAATGTATATTTAATCATTCATGTAGGTCTCTAATGTCATGATAACAATCAACACTAACGATTTGGTATCGCCCTCACATCCAAGCCAATTAGACAGAGTTATTAATTACAACTTTGCCAAAATAATGTCCAAGTTGCCAAGATTTGCATCTATTTTAGTCAGCATAAAAGGTGAATTTTGGCAAGAGGTAGAAGTGCAAATTAATATCCCGTGATAAATCTGTGATTAGTGGGCAATATCAAGATGATTTATGAAAAGATAATTCCGATTGAACAAGACTGTAGTGTTAAACATTTGTAGAAATCAAAGGAAGGTTAAAAAAGAAAATACTTAACATACGAATAAAGTATGACTGCATTGTTTTCACAAAGTGAGGAGATTGGTATTTTATATATAGACCCACAATTACGCTTCTTACTAGAGAAAGCTGAAGGAAAGCACTAAAATGAAATGTTGCATTCTGTGCTACTTCTTAAGATATGTGATCTCGAAGAGATTTAAAAAAAAATACAGATATATGAACAAAGGCATGGTAAAAATTGGCAATTCTTTGGTCATGATGATGTCATTATATATTGTAGATTTACAAATTGACACTATTTTTTCCCAGATGTAGTGTTTATTTGAAGAAGAAAAAATATTGGTTGGACAGACAGTATCCATGATAAGAAAAATAGGAAATGCATACATGTAAGTTCAACATAAAAATATGTATACGTCTATGTTTGTGTATTATAAGTGTATAAGCCTTATCCCTCGAAATCATGGCCAATAATAATTTGAGGAGTACAGATCTGTACCAAATATTCAAAGCCATTGATAATATTCCGATAATTGTAAACTTGGTATTAGAAGTTTCATTTCATCAATAAAATTAATACCCCTTTAAGATTCAATTTTAATAGAGACATCGAACTCTTATACGAGACGTATACCCTGTTGCGAGATCAGTTTTCTACATTTATTTTTTGTCATTATCTTTTTCATCAATGTTGTGATTGCCAAATCATGGCCAATAATAACTGGCCTCATTTATCTAGTCATCTTTTAGATTACGGTCTGCAGAATGCTTCATGGGTTGCAATCTTTCGTACAATTGAAACTGATTGCTCAAGAGAATTGCCCCCAATCTGCGGGGGCGATTCAATAAAGATGTTGCCAAATATTATATTCATGTGCCTCTTGATGTACTTTCTACAATCTTGATTGCGAGCCCAACTTTTGATGAGTGAGATAATAATTTATCAACAGTGCAAATATAAATAGATTTCGGTCTGTTGACCTGGTTGTGTCACTCATAATTCGAGTCCGGCTGGAATTAACATCATTACTAAACACGGTCGCTTAGGTTTAGACAATGCCTCTCCAATTATGAAAGATTACTCAGGTAACAATGTGGTCATCTTTACCCAGGGTAGCCTCATCATTACTAACACTGTTTTTCCTGAGGACCTTCGAATTAGCATCACCTCCAGTACTGCCAGGTAGCAAATTGATTATCTGCGTTGATATAATTGGTAAAACACCTTGTCCAATGTACAAACAATCAACAAGCAAAGACCGAACCCATGCAAATCCTCTCGTATGAGTCAAGAGCCTTTACCAATATACCACATTGCTATTTGTATATAGATTTTGTTAATATTGTTTTTTGTATTTTATTAAGAAACTCACTTTACGTGTTACATTAACATTTTTGTTTTACAAAACATAACTATAATAATGAATATGAAAATATGGCTCGAAAAACACATTTAGATAATAATCAAAAAGTATACAAATATATATGCATTATTTCAAATGAGATTCAAATGTTCAGAAAATGGTCAATGGAAATTCATATCGTATCTAGTGGGGTGAAACTTTACATAATTCGCAGATTAGGTTTGGATATAATATCTAATCTGATTAAAAAAACAATTAAATAACGTATAGTACGTATACAATAATGTATACATTTAACATTGTTAGAGAGAAAGATATGTATAATAGGAATAGTAAGATCAAATAATTAAGTTTGTTATTAATTACATCAAATTTATGCTTTTAACTCCGTAGTTTATAGTCGTACAAATAAGAGTTTCACCTTTATAATTTTTTACCTATAATCGACAGTATGCTGGCGCGTATCTTTAAACATCATACTTGGCAAATGATTATGTTAACATTCTCCACGCCTATGATACACTGTCCTTGAAAGGGGCTGTCCATTTCCCATGATGAATTAATCTAAGTTCTAGATTGATAAACAAGCGACATGACACATAGTGCCCTGGAGGTTTTAGAGTGTTGTTTCTGTGACGATTCGTCATATTTTCCGAGTTTACTTAATCAGTAAAACTCGATTATTACGTCGATTTATTTTTTATCGTTCTATCAGATCTTGTTCATGTAATAAGATTTCCGCATAAATTATGTATCTAATCGATTAGACAATATTTGATAACAAGTTTTACCTGGAGATGAATCTAAACAAAACTATAACAAAAAAAGGCAATATAATTTGGTTAACAATAAAAGCAACAGTACAATTAAAACCTATAATTAGTTTGTCACTTTAAGTTACAAAATTCCACTCGTAATTGCATGTTCTTATACATACTAGCTTGTTCACATGGAGCATGGATGGTGGAAGGTATACGTTTAGAATACGCATTACCACCCCTCCCCATAAAAGAAAAATAAACTAAAGTCGAGTAACAATTTCTAACTATTCATTATACATTCTTCAGTTTAGGAGCATTTCATTAATTTTCTGCATGTTCCTCGTATACCGCCATTCTGCTTTGGTGAACATTATAGCATGGTAAATTGTGTGGTTGTTTGTGTGATTTGCTGCTCGAATTCGTAAGGAAGGGGAAGCCCGCCTGTAGCTCGCTTGACCGAAAACAGGGCTCCATTTTCTGATTGGCGGAAACTGATCAAAATCATAGTCAAGGCCATAACTTTAAGATAGTGCTCCATAAAAAGTAGAGCAGGAGTAGCAGGGGATAGACAGTAATGCTATCATACTGTATGAAAATGGCGGCACTAAAAAGGAAGGGGCATCTCCCCCTCCCCTCATCTTATAGTCGGCTCCTATATTATTTTTATTTTGCTAGTTATCTCCCCCCATCCCTCTTTTCTCAAAGCTTGATCGTTCGATAAACATAAAGTGGCCTTATTCAGCTTTAAATCTCAAAACCTATTCTAGTATTTTTGAAATTGAGCTGAATCGATTTGTAAGAGTTTTTAATGTCCTATAATCGAAAGTGAACTATTGCGCTTTTGTGATGAACCCACATCATTTCATTTAGTTATTTATGAACTTTTATTGTATGCACATTTTGATGTTTTTACAGAGAGTGACAATATACGAACTTAAATAAAAATGTATAATTTTTGTAGTTTTATCGCGTAGCTTTCATCACAATAGCCATAAAGTCTTCAGTATATTACAGTGTTGTCAAAGCAGCAGAACAAAAAAAAAACATGTGTTGTACCACATTTTTAAGAGTAAACTGTACGCTACTCCCCGGGGCTACTCCATGCTTGTAAGCGCATTGACCCAATTAAGTGTGTGGACCTATCTTACAAAGGGCATATCGAAAGGCCGTTTCATGTATCAAGTTGTAGTTTGTGTGATCTGGAGCTAGATAAGACAGTGTAAGAATTAAAACCTCAGGTGAAAGAAAGGAAGTCTGTCATCAGCAAGGAGCGAGAATGTCCTCTTGTCATTTCTCGTTTGTGAAACCTTACGACTTCCCAGGGTATCCGATAATTACCTGTGGAAAACACGTGCATATGAGTAGGTGTAGGACTTTTATGAACCCCGGTTCTCCTGCTTCGGCGGCTGGTTTCCGATCTTTCCCGAGCTCTGACACGCTCAATACTCGTGAGTTGGTGCAAATTACTACTTGCAATGACTTGACATGCCGAACTATCGCAAGGTTCCGAGAAGTCGGCAGCTAATTCGGCAAAGTTTTCATAACTTCAAAGCTGTCTCTATTTTCATGATCTTCGTTACTTTCCACAATTAAGTTGTTTCCACGACGAAAAATGGAATACTCACCGTTTTCTCCACATGGCTTCACTTTTTTTGCGTATTTTTCACTGAAAATAAATAATGTACAACGAAGAGGAGTTTGATTCGTCACTTTATCAATGATATTTGCCTTCTTGAAATGACTCCAAATTGTTGTATCAGCATGAAATCATGTAAAGGAATTATGTTTGATTCGTCACAACTAATTTTTGAAATCAAGTTTTAAATTTCATTGGAAAGTTCTAAGATTCACTATTTCAGGCACCCTTGCTTTCTCGCAGTGAATGGCATCGACTGTCGTTAAATGAAATTCTTAATGAAAAGCTTGTAAATCGTCCTCTCAGGAAGTAATCATTCTGAAAGGATGACCAATAAAAGTAAAAAGCACCATACAACATTATGAATATTATGTCTACCATTATGTTACAAAGGGTATAATGATTTTCCCCTTCTTTTCAATCTCTTATGCAGGTTTTCCAGCCAACATTGCCGGAACCTGCACGCCAGAACAGACATGCAATGGCCAATGTCCCTGGACAGAAAGAAGCCAAGGACGCCCTCCTCTCTGCTTCTGTGACCAAGATTGTCAATTCTTCAACGATTGCTGCAAAGACCACTCCCAATGCAGTCGCTACAGGACATTCGTCAGTAGCGCACAACCACAACCTTCATCAATAACAAACACCTCTGCAACTTACAGTTGTGTCAGCTTACAGAACTTTGTGGATAAGAAGGAGTGGCAGATCATCAGCGCTGGAAGACCGGTCGAGAAGATGCGACTTGGATATTACATCATCGCAACGTGTCCTACATACATATCTTCGGACATCGATCGGAACTACCGCAAAATGTGCGAAGATGAAAACCGAGATACAATATTGAACACCCCTGTGTATGACCACCAGGGACTGACTTATAAGAACATGTTTTGCGCGCTCTGTAATGGTTTGAGTATTCAGAATATTAAATCTTGGAACGTGGAGTTCTCTAATTGCAACTCATCATTCAACAGTACTGGCCTATGGACGGTAAATTCTAATGGGGGCCCTTCGGGTGGTTTTGCAGAATGGGTGACACTTGCAACAAAACACTGCATCGTTAGCACGACTGAGCCAGTCGAAGCCAAACCCCTCCGTAGGTGCTTCCCAAATTTAGTTTCAGATTGTCCGAGTAACTTCTATGATCAACGAATCCGAACGCTTTGCCAGAGGTATCAGTCCGTCATAGCAGCAAATGGCATATACTACAGAAACAAGTACTGCGCCCAGTGTAACCTTGGTGTCGAGGTCCGGTGCAACATTGTGAGGTACGATCCATCTCGCATCAGGTTCTACTCCCTAAGGATTGTGGCTGATTTCTCGAAAGGAGACTATTACGTCATTAATCATGAAGGTGAAAGGTCATTGGGATTTCCACCTTGTCCGAACCAGGATCAGATCTTTGACATCTTTCTTGAGAAATGCCGTGTAGTGAACTGTGCTAAAGGATACCTTACGCCCTTCGGTGACTGCATCAAGATTCCTTCGACGATCCCGACATCTTGTGGACCATTCAAGAACAGGAAGAGCGTCCGTATCGACACACAGCTTTCTAATAAGTTTGACTTCAACTCCAATGAGTGCTCTGATATGATAGACTGGTGGCTTACATGTGTTGCAGAGGTTCGGAGGGTGCGCTTGTCTTTCAATTCGAATGATCTTGTTGGGGAATGCTCCGTTGATAACATATACAGAGTAGCGAATATATCAATCACCGCAAGGAATAATAGCGACCCAAGGGTGTCGGCTTCGCTGATGAGTCTCATTGAAACATTCAATTCACAGCTAGAATTGCAGTCAATGCCATGTCACACGCTAAACATAGATTTCCAGCAGGGGTGTTTGTCTCTTCATCGGGACCTCATCGGTGAGGGGAAGTGCCGAGACGTGACTATGAACTCTTCCCGATCAGTCCAATTCAATGTTACTGGAAACCAGACGCAGATGGCGACGAATCTCAACGTTAACTATCAGGGGAAGATTCTTCAGAACTTGATATATGTGACGAGTTTCACAGAAATAGGCACCCAGGTACATACGAGACAGCGAGTTATGGCATGTAACCGTTTGGCATTGGATCATGTGCCTTGCCCCGTGGACTCGGCTCCTTATAGTGATTTTATCGTAGTGCCTATGAAGAATGGGAAGGAACGACTAAAATACCTGCCAACGGAAAAGGTCATCAAGGCTAATCAATACGAGATTACAGCCAATGGAACGGTCTTAGTGTGCCATGGTGTCCTCGGGAACATCTCAGCATCCATTGCCGAGGATAGGATACCTATCTTCAGTTTCTCATCGGCAGAAATCATGGTGAGCTGCTTCGGGTTAGGACTATCTCTCATTAGCATGCTCATTACCTTCACCACCTATTTGGTCTTTCCTTCCATGAGAAACCTTCCCGGCAAGACCGTCATGTCACTAATCGTCGCTCTCTTCGTAGGTCAAGGACTGTTCCTGTTTGGGGTCGGAGAGACACGGAACGACACCATCTGCACTGTCATAGCCATCGTACTGCACTACGCCTGGCTCAGTGCCTTCACCTGGACAAACGTCCTCGCATTCCACCTGTCTCAGAGCCTAGGTACCAGAGCAGGCTCTATGCGGAAGCGTTTCGCGATGGGCTCCCAAATCTCTAAAACATTCCTTTTGTACTGCGCCTATGGCTGGGGCGCCCCTCTCATCGTCGTTCTAATTAGTGTCGCTGTTGATCTCTGGAGCAATGCGAATTTCCATTATGGGACCAAAGCGAGTTGTTGGATTACTGGAGGTCTTGCAAACCTCTTGGCCTTCGGCGCACCCGTTGGTTTGACGTTGCTGGTCAACGTTGCTATGTTCACCAACATTGTAATTGGGTTCCTGTCAAGAAGAACACCGTCTAGCGGCCTGGACGACGAGAGACGGAGGAGAAGAAAAAGCAGGAGAGACACCATGGTTTCGTTTAAGGTTTGTGATTCATCTGGTTTTCAATTTTGTAGTTATCTCCTCGTATCTCCTGTTGTCTTTGTATTTTCACGTCAGCCAAGTGATAGAGAGGTCAGATGCCCCCTGGTTTACTTATTAAAATTTATGTCGGAAATATTCCTAAATTTAGTAAACTAGTTTGGAACTTGCTAAAAGGAGTCGGCAAACATCACAGAAAGACAAACAAAAGTGAAAAAGATGAAAAGATGGATGGTGGGAGGGGTAGACGAAGAATCAGAAGTTTGATGGGGAGGGAGGCAGGGTCACCAACATTGTTGCCAAATGTTCATGACGAAACGCTTGGCTTAACTTAAGTGCCTCTTTAGTTCTCGGCCACCAACACAATTTTAGTTTAAATGTTTGTTTATTTTGTTTGTTTGTTTTTGCTTCTTTTTTGTTGAAGTTGTTGTTTCTGTTTTGTTTAATGATCAATCACGAATTCTTATTAATTTCTTTTATGTGAAAAACCTTCTAATTGACAATATTACTATACTTTGCTTTCATAGATCGCCTTATTAATGGGTTTCACCTGGCTTTTCGCCTACATCGCCGCCTGGGCAGCTATCACCGTTCTCTGGTATGTCTTCATTTTATTAAACAGTCTTCAAGGAGTCTACATCCTTACAGCATTCACCTGCAATAGAGGCACCTGTAAACTCTGGAGCACAAAAGTAAACAGGTATTGTGAAAGAAGTATTATAAAAGAAGCTCATCTTAAGCCTCTCGTCGATATAAGACAGACATATTTTTTTCTAAGGGGCGATGGCACTTTTCCGAAAAATAATAATCGCACAAGTATAAGAAAAATAGTAATTTGCCCTTGATCAAAAGAGGGAATATGAATTATATTTTATATATCAAGAATCAATGGTTGCTGCTTTAGTGTACTTGGCAGACTTTAATGGTGGCGCTATTCTTACATCAAATAGGATCATTAGTTTCCAGCATTCCGTTGTCTTTTATAAATAAATACACAACAACAGTGTAAAACTTATAAATCGACTTAAGCCTAAACTCTATCCTTCTTTCTTTATTCCTCTCTCCAACTGTGTGTGCATGTATTGTGTGTTTTTCTCTCTCTACTCGTCGTCCTTGCCTAAACTCAGATGAATAACTTTTCAGTGTAATCCAAAAATTATGGCAGCTATCTATTTCTCTTCCTCTTGTCATCTCCATGTCCTTCTCTATATCCATCCTCCTCTGTCCATCCCCACCCCTCATCCTAGATTCCGAGAGAGATGTTCCAAGATGGCCACACGTACTACCCACAACTCGAGTGGTCATCACCGGTGCATACGAGATGAAGGGAGTCGAGATGAGCTGAGCGGTGACATCTGTCATGCGGAAGAAGCTATGGAAGAAAGCAAAGGTCATGAGGATGCAGATCATAACGCGGACATTGATCCAGTTCCTGAATTATCGATCACACCGGTATGAAACTCGACAGGCTTGATCTGCCTTTAATTCATAGATCGAGTGGCGTTGCAGATTAATGGCGATGAACCACCAATATGACTGTTGCCCAAACCCAGGGACGATCGACTCGCTGGTCAGGTCACAGCTATAGTGAGGGGAAAAGTTTTGTGAGGTGTCATCTGCTTAGGGTCCAACACCCGTACAATTTCTTTGTATACCAATGTCAGGTATATTAACATTCACCTTGAGATAGACATCCCCGAGTTAATGGTGAAAAAAGGGCGAGTGGCGCTGGAAGTGTACTCAATATCGGCTGCAGTCGTCACATGATGATGGTGACGATGGAGAGAATGGTGATCGATGATGACGAGAATGATGACAATGATGATACACGAACTAGTTCATGATCCTTATGAAGGGGTATAGAAAGAACAGGATTGGAATACTCTGAAGACTAACTTTACATAGCGGTGTCATCAAAACTCGCAGCTTATAAAGGACAACAGATCTGCTATCTGAAAGATAAAAAGCAATACGACTCTTTGGTAAAAATATAAAGAACCTGTATCACAAGAGCTGATAACGACAGTTAAGAGTAAGACCCTGAATCATTATAAAGGATATACAGTTATGAAATAATGATGAAGATCATTTTGTAGATCTTGTGTTCCAGAGGGGCTTTTGAAGACTCGGTCGAGTTGTCAACATCAAGTACAAGGAGAAAATGAAATAAGCTCTTCAGACATTGCAAGATACACTGAGATGAAGCTCAAATCGAAACTGAATTTAAAATGAAGATGAAGTTATATATTTTAATGAGATGATGAAAAAAGAAAGTAACGGACGCCTTTTAGTATAGCGTCCATGAAAATGGAGAGAATCTTCTAGACAAAAATTATCGTCGTGTGAATTATTTCCGTCACTTTAGGCTTATTCCTGGGTTAAGAACTATCGGTATACGTAGTTTGCTATCGAATTCATTCAAAATATGGCGACTTCAGTCTCGATCAGTCTAATTTCCTTTTAAAACAGTATTTGAATAGTTAACCACTATTGGAAACTTAATTGCTCGTAATATTACGGGGGAAAGACAACTGGAGGGGTGTACGCCGACTAAAAACTGTGCCAAGTGGATGCTACAAAAGTCAGTTTCTGCTTTCACCCAAATTAAATTAATGTAATATGTTTATGGTGTGATATAATCCATAGTATCTAGTGGCTCTCCATAAAGATTGAGATAAAACCAAACAAACAAATGTGAAATGTGACGAAAAATTTATTCGGGTGTCCGACATAATGGGACGTATTATTTGCCGACAGGTTTAAATTACAGAATACTTGATGTTTGAAACTTATTATGTTCTACAAGGTTTTCAGTCTCTACAAATTGAGGTTAAGCAAAGGGTGTTGGTGTACTCAGAATTTGTTATTAATTTTGTTTGAATGGGGATGGTCACACCAGCCCTTGAAACCACTTTCTCTTCTCAATCTGTCCTTCGGCAACGTCCCCGATTAGATGCCATAATTCCCTCCAATTATGATAGTGCTGCTGAGAATACACTTTATATATTTGTTGACAATATAATGACCTTTAATCAATATGACTACAAAAGTGTGCTCGTGCAACTAAGCAGCTGAAATTCTTCACTTATAATTATATTTCAGATACATGTATATGACACAAATTTCACATGTTATAATTATGTTAGAAAAGGCTAACCAAATAACCTTGAACCGGTTTTTAAAGCAGCCCAAACCGAAGTCATGTTATCAGTCAAAAACGATTGGAAACATTAAGTTTTTATACCGCTAGGTCTCAATAATACACATCGAGCAGTAATTCGTCAACATTTGAATTAACTTTATGGATATAAATTTATTCTATTGAAATTGTGGAATTATTCTAAGCATTAAAATCATCACGAATAGATCAACTGTATTTGGATGGTGTGTATACACTTTTTCGAGTCTTATAGTCCAGTGTTGTAGAGCCTTGATGATCGGCCTTGGCGCCAAATTTCGCCAAATTTCGCCATGCCTTGGCCCTGGTCTTGGATGCTTTAGCCTTGGTCTTGAGGGTTCAAGCCTTGGTCTTAGCATTGGTCTTGATCTTGTTGAGGGTTTATGCATTGACTACGACACTGTTATAGTCGCGGTCTTATTTATATAACTAGATTACTAGTTAGAAAACTGTTTGCTTTTTTATTTGCCTTTAATAAAGGTACTGCCTACCTTTGCTTATAATGTTATACAAGGGCAGATGAAGCTGAATATAATAATTATGAACGTCATTCAAATAAATTCACCTGTATATGTGGTTGTATATATTGATTTATAGGATTATTATGTAAATATTAAAAAGATAATTAAGAGAAAGATATTTCGTGATGATTTAAATTGTATTCGCTTATCTGAATGTCTAAGTGTGATTTATGAAGCTACTCATACCAAAGGAAAGGAATAAATCCCACCAACTAGAGAGAATCCTTTATGTTTTTATCTCATTTTTCTTTTCTTTTGAGTTTGAGTGTTATTGTATTGATGGGTACACGTGCATTCGTATTTGTTTGTTTTACTAACTAGCTCTTTCGGACACCCCCTTTCCATGCCTCCCCTTCACGCGCACCGCCTTGGCGTCACAATCATGTCCCCCTCAAAATCGAATAGCAAAGTAGGATTATTAAAAGGGAAGAGAGTGGGTGTGTGTGAGAGAGAGAAAGAGAGAGCGGGAGGGGAGGGCAAAGAGATAGAAAGAGAGAGGACAGGGAGGGATACAGAGATACAAATTGAGTGATCACTACCCCCCCCCCCCCAACTGAGCGAAATATTGGTCGGCGCGATTTACAAGTTTCACCCCCCACTCCCTGGATCCACCACTAGGTCACCCCCCCCCCCCTTAGCAGAAAGCTAGATCCGCCCCTGGGACCGTCTTCTTTTTTTAAACATAAAAAAGGGTAAAATTCACGTGTCTTTTATATGTTTTTTGGACAGGGGAGGGGGCCCCCGGCCCCCGCCCCCAACTGGATCCGCTACTTGTCGGAAGGACCACATTCTTGTTCCGAAAAATCTCCTGTATAAAGGGGTAATTTTCGCGCGACAAAATAAAAACTGGCTCGAGAATCTTTTAAAAAAGGGGTGTATTTGACTTTTCCCCCGGAGATTTCTTTAAAAAGGAGGTGTTTTTTTTTTTTTTTTTTTTTTTTTTTATCTCTCTCGTTGTCTTTGGAATCCTGAGAAATTTCAAAGGGGGGGTTTTACATCATCTTAGATAGAGAGGGAGTACATTGAGCAATGTTTCGGATTTAGGGGGGTCTCCAAGGCATGAAGAGCCCGCAAAAAGCCCGCGAAAAGGGGGTCGAGTAATGTTGGCAGTCAAAGGGAGGAAACAAGCGTACGCGTACCCTAAATAACGATGAGTGGGCGGAGAGGGGGGGGGGGGGGGGGAGGAATATATACTTATCATTGTAGCGGAAAAGAATAACCTAGTGGTGGGGGTGGGGGTGGAGGTGGTGGGTGGTGGTGGTGGTGGTGGTGGTGGTGGTGGTGGTGGTGGTGGTGGTCAGGCGCGGATCCAGGGAGCGGAGCCCCCGGAAGCTCAGGGGTTTGGGGCAATACTCTCTCTAAAAAAATCGAGTGATCACGGATGTCACTCCTCTGGAGAGTGAAAATGTAGTGAATATAGAGTGAACATTAACTCTTTTCTTCTTAGAGAGCACTTTAAAATCAATCGATTTTCACTCCTAAACAAGTGATCACGGACGTCACTCCCAAGAAAATGAAAATAGAGTGAAAATTAACTTTTTTTAAAAGAGAGTAAAATAACGGTCAGATACAGGCGCGTACACAGGGGGAGGGTTTGGGGGGTTAAACCCCCCCCTTTGGTATTTTTTGTTTGTGTAAACCGCCCCTAAATTTCCCTAAAACCCTCTTACCCCCCCCCCCCCCCCGCTTATTCAGCGGCTGGCTGAGTCGTTGCGAAATTTTCGGCCCGATTTATAAATGTTAACCCCCCCCCCCCTTGAAAAAATCCTGCGTACGCGCCTGGTCAGATAAGTATAATTTTGTGACACTGGCAGGACCCAAATTGGTATTGGGTCCAGGGGCCGGAGCCCCCAGAAGCTTACGGGTTTTATACATTAGATTATTGTCAGATGAGCATATTTTGATACCTTATTTGTGACACTGGCAGGAAACAAATTGGTGTTGGGTCCAGGGGCGGAGCCCTCAGAAGCTCAAAGGTTTATGGTCAGATGAGCATAATTTTATTCGTTATTTGTGACACTAGCAGGTCACGAATTGGCGTGGGGTCCAGGGGGCGGAGCCCCCGGAAGCTCAGGGGTTTTGGGCAATAAATAACCGTCAGATGAGCATATCTGTATACCTTAATTGTGACACTGGCAGGCCACGAATTGGCGTGGAGTCCAGGAGGCGGAGCCCCCGGAGGCTCAGGGGTGTTATGCATTAAATTATCGTCACATGAGCATAATTTTTATACCTTATTATTGTGACACTGGCAGTTCACGAATTGGCGTGGGGTCCAGGAGGCGAAGCCCCCGGAGGCTCAGGGTGTTAGGCAATAGATAACGGTCAGATGAGCATCCAGGGTCCCGCCTTAGGGCCCTAGGTGGGGTCCAGGGGGCAGAGCCACCGGAAATAAGGGGTTTTAGGCATTTAATTACGGTCAGATGAGCATATTTTTATACCTTTTTTTCCTTCTTTTTTCTTCTTTCTTTTTTTTTGCCAGGGGGGGGGGGGGTCCCAGGGCCCCCTCGATCCGCCATTGGTGGTGGTGATGGTGGTGGTGGGGGTGATGATGATGATAATGTTGACGATGATGAGGAAGTTGGTTGTGATGCTGGTGTTGCTGCTGATAAATAAATGAAGGTAATGCCAGTGATGATGATAATGATGATTATGATTGTGGTAACAAAATTGGTTGTTTATTTGTGTAGGCCTAGCTAGGACGCACACGAAATTGGCAAATTTACCTGTTGACTACTGAATTATCTAATTCCCATAGACTTAACACTGAGACCACCAGGTTCCAGTAAGCAATGGGTTAAAGACTAAAAGATGTTTTTTAAAGAAACTTGAAACTTTATACTTAATTTTTAAACATTTTTTGAATAAATAATTGAAACAGGGTGAGTCCATCCATTGAGGCTGTGCATGGGCACCAAGTGTGTGTGTGGGGGGGGGGGGGGGGCATTAATTGGTCTTACTCGGTGTATAATTCTTTTTTTTTACTGTAAACAAGGCAACCACTTTAAAGAGGGGGCGTCCTTCCTCTTTCCTATCTCCAATTTTCCCTCGAGCTCCTCATTTCTTTTCTATTTTTCTATTTTTTCACCCATTCGATTGGGGAGGCAAAATATTTTGTTTTTATTATATTTAGATGTTTTTATAGGACAAACTCCACAACAATTAAATACTTGAGTCAGTTAGGTGACATTTTGAAAAAAGTTTGATAAAAGTTTGCCCAGGGTTTGCCCAGGGTAATGTTCCTGCACTTACTGCGCATGATCTTGGTAGAAATTGGCTCGCCCTAGCTCTCCGTGTTTACGTTTTTAATAATTTCGCGCGGAAACCATCGAACACACGTGTTCGGATTAGAACTGCACTTGCGCTAATAACGTACGCAGTGTGTATACATTATCAGCTGTGCATATATCGACGTACAGTACCCTACTGTGTAGTCTAGTGAGCGGTGTTTTCGAATCGAAATGGCGACTTTATTTTCATACTTTTCCAAGCTACCCGGCAAAAAGACCGAGAAAACATCGCCAAAAGCAGGTGACAAGGCAGAGACAGATAAATCGGTTTCACCGAAAGAAAATGCCAAAGAAAAACTGTCGACAAGTCCACCATCGAAGTCAAAATCTGAGATTACAAGTGAGTAAAGTTACGTTTTGTTGGGAAGCAGTGCAGCAAGTCACTCACTGACTGGAGTCATGTTGACGGTGCAGTGCAGTGACACCTTCAGGTGCAGGCTTCAGTGCATGGACACCTGCACTAGATTACTCGAGGCAGAAGCAGAAATTGTAGCCTTAATTTCAACAAATAAGTGAAGCCGAAATCATGTTGAATTGAAATTGAAGCTAATCAACAGGTCCAGGAAATGTTATTTCAAATATTGGTGCCAACAATGCAAAAAAGGTCATTAATTTTTAAAAACACAGAAAAGGGATAAAAATGAAAGAAGATGGAAAGAACATTATTTGAAGAAAGGAAGACGATGTTGAAATATATTTTTTGAAATTCATGAATATTCCTGATGTAGGCCTAGGCTACTATTAATGTTCTTGAGGAAATTTTACGTTATTAATTTATAATAGGGTCTAGACCTAGTATAATAAAGTCAAAGAAGGCCTTCGCCTTGATATTTGACAAACAAGTGGTTAGGTCTACAATTACTTACAGACAAAAGCTCATGTTTCCATTATTTGTAAATTGTAAGTGATGCCTTGCCAGTTATACAGTCCAGACCATCAAAATATGAATTTATGATTGAAAAAAGATGGGTAGGCCTAGTAAATAGTGGTGTGAAACCCAACATGGAGAATTTCAAGAGTTCAGAATTTTCTTTCAATTTTGTTCTTATTGTGTCGTTTCACCCCTCCTCACTCCAGATGGCCATCAGACATTCGCCCCAGGGGATCTGGTGTGGGCCAGACTGGAAGGCTACCCATGGTGGCCCAGCCTTGTCTGCAACCACCCAACCCTAGAGAAATGCACCAAGAAGGAAGGCAGGAAAGGCCTCGTTCATGTCCAGTTCTTCGATGACCCACCAAGTCGTGCTTGGATCAGTGATAAGTAAGCACCAAACCATTTACTACCTTTATGCTCACAGGAGGTATTTGCTGTTGAAAAAGTGAGACTTCCCCCAAAATGATATTTGTTTATTTAACTAGAGCTCTTATGTTGCTTTCCAGTTCTAGCCAACTTGCTCACTGCTCCTGTCCAATTTTGACAATTTTCCTGTTTTTGTGCAACCTAGTGACATGAAGGTACACTTAGCCCGTCAAAAATTGCTTTGCCCTGGTAGACCAGTGGCTTATTTCACAAGAAGGCCCAAAAGGTAAACGATAGTAAAAATTAAAAACACTGTGATCCCATTCTATCTTGAAAGATTTATAGAGGGCTACAACGGGAGCCGAGCCAAGGAGTGCCAATTTGGATGTAAGTTCCATACCACCAAACCAGACGTCAGGAGAGGGATGGACCAGGCCGATGAGGCGCTGAAGAAGGACCGGGAGGAGAGGATGGAGCTTGTTGTATGCCAGGTACCATCGGAAGATGAGGAAGACGAGGAGGAGGAGGAAGACGAGATGGAGGTTGAAGGTAAGGACTAATTTGAAGGTTTAACAAAAAGTGAAGTTGCATTTTAAGCCTAGTACACTCGCCAAGTGAGGTGAAAATGTAGTAAATGACTTAAACCTGATATCAAGCCTCTTAAGCTTTTTAAGCCAGGTTTCCCATGATCATGGAAAAGCCTGAAAAGTCATGGAAAAATGTGTTTTTGTGGAAAGTCATGGAAATTGTGAGGGTGTCACGTGAGTGACTTGAAAAAAATTGTTTTAACTGCAAACTTATCAGAAACCACAACAGAACACAATTGTATAGAGGTCTAATGAAGTTTTAATCTTCAGCCTTCAAATCGTGGCATTCAAGATGAACAGAACATAAACAATTTACAATTACATAACTTTAATACTGGGTAGCTTCCATCTGGTGAGTCCCTCACAGCTCCGGGTAGCTTTGCCAGTCTCTAGACTGGGTAGACATCCCGTCGACTTGGCAGCTCAGCTCTGTAATGTCTCTCTCGCTGACTCCCCGCTTCTTGATCACGGATAATTAACGTGTAGGCGAGCCGAAGTGAAATCTAGTTTGTGCATAACATCTGCACCCTACCACTAACTTGAAGGGTTCTGCTGATTTTTCCTAAGCAACCTCCCTTTTCCCACTTTCCTTGCCCAAGTCCTTAACATCAAACCATCCAAGGTATGCAAGATATTTCTGTTTTCATACCAACAGGTTGACGGATTACAATTAACAAAAGGAAACATTCAATAGGCAGCTAGAAGCATGCAATAACAAAAACCAGATTGACTCTGTGTCATAAATGCAAATTTATGCAATAATGCATCATAAGCTTGAGTAGTACATTTTCTTCCAGTTCTTAAACAAAGGAATTCCTTTCTCGTCCGGAAAAAATTCCTTTCATGACAGAGGGGAGTCTGTGGCCATCTCAAACATGATATAATATCTATCACTGGATGGTATTCGTATCAGTATGCCACTTTGATGCCTCAGCCCATACCAAAATGTACTGGTATATTATTGATGCACTCTCGTAAGTTATATTTTTTTCTTTGCATGCTTGCATTTAAAACAGAAGAGGCAAGTGAAGGCAGTGCTAGTGAGGAGGACATCACCATTAGGAGACGAAAGCCAAGAGCTGCTGCCAAAAATGCCATGAGCACCCAAAAGAAGAAACGAAGGAGAATCAGGGTTGCTTCGGACAGTGAAAGCTCAGGTATACATGTGTTTTGATGACAAGAAATTCAGTTGAAAGGAAGGAAGTAATTGTGTTTTGTCACTGGACAAAAAGAGAAAGCCTCATCAATACTTGGACTTGTCAATTTCAGGCAGAGTTTATGCTTTTTTTTCTTCCCCATAACTCTTTTTAAATTTTATTAATTTTAATATTTTCTACAGCTCTATGCCCATATGCATGCTGGATTGCTGTGATAAGCTGCCTCAAACAAAACATTTCTGCAGTATATGAAATATAATCACATATAATACTGATTTTCAACAGAATACTGAGATTATTCATATGAAAGTTGGCAGCATTTGTAATAAGGATTGGGGGGGGGGGGAGGGAGTTGTGTCTGGGTATTTGCAGGTAAAAGTTATAAATGTTAAGCTTTGTGTTTTCCCAGGGACTTTGCAAAAAGTGATACATCATGTTGCATTAAATCCTGAAATTATTTGTCATTTATGACTTTGTCCACATGGTTTTGTGTAAAGATGCAAGGAAGCTTTCACGCACAATCATTCTACTTCTGTCCAGACGCAATTTATGGTTCCAATCAGTGGCAGATCCAAGGGGGGGGGGGATGTGTAAAAAACACCCCCACTGTGCGAATTATATGCCGGCTGTTTCGCCGCTAAATATTTTCTCACGAATTGGGCCCCCTTCCCTGCCGCCGGCTGGATCCGCCCCTGGTTCCAATCATAAGGACATGACTGTTTTGAACTAGGATAAATACACTTGATTACCTTTGAACTTTGACTTGTTTCAGGGGATGAGTTCAAGCCTGACAGTGATGATGAATCTGAAGGAGCTGTGAGCAGCGGACTGGATGAAGATGAAATCTCTGCATCAGAGACAGAATCCGACCCAGAAACCCCAAAGGTTCGTTTTCTTATAATATCCATTTCCTTTTTAAAGAAATACTGATTTTCAACAAAATACTGAACTTATTCTTGTGAAAATTGGCAGCTGTGTAACAAGGATTCTAATAGGTCATTATAGTTAGAAATTAACTGTGAAGTTAGATTTTCCTTTGTTGAAGGAATTTGTATTTTTACAAATCTGTATGCCAGTACCCTTTGTATTGAGCATTGATTTAAAGGGTCAAGTCTTAGCTGAATTTGGCTTATATCTAGTTGATTGAATCCAATAAAAGAAATTATTTAGGTGGCCTGTCAGGTAATGCTCATTTAGAGCCACACTCACACGAACATTGTTTACATGAATATTTAGGTACCCTTTTTGGAGAGGATTTTCAAAGTTTGATACAAATAAGCTGTTTAATTTCTCTTGAAATGAAGTTGTTCAGTTTTGGGGAATAGAATGCTGCATGTATGATGTGAACTTTGGCAATATAAATGGGAAAGATAATATCTCTAAAGGGTATATTATTGAGAGGTTTCATCCTGAATTTTGTTTTCTTGTGTCTTATTATTATACAACCTCCCCTACTTCAAGTTACCCGAATTAGAAAATTGAATGTAGAAAAAATGTAAAAATTCCCTTGCAGTTTTAAATATACATCTGTAGATATGGAAGCATATTGGAAGAAAGCTCCATTGTGAATTTAGCTTCTTTCTATCTTCATTTCTAGAAAGCTAAGAAACGAAAGAGGGGTTCCACCTCCACTGTCACGCCTTCCACCAACAAGTCTGCGAAGAAGCCTCGCAGCGTCCTGACCCCGTTTTCTATGGACCACTCAGACTCCGCTACCCCACCCTCGAAGAAGACTTTTGGTACACCCTCCGGCCAATCTTCCATGGACCGCCCAGACTCCGCTACCCCACCCTCGAAGAAGACTTTTGGTACTCCCTCCGCCCAATCTTCCATGGACCGCCCAGACTCCGCTACCCCAACCTCGAGGAAGACTTTTGGTACACCCTCCGTCAGCTCCACTACCAAATCAAGGCTCTCTGCATTCCAGTCTCCAGCTGTGAGTTTATTGTGTTTTTTTAATTCAAAGTCGAAATCAAAAGTCGGTTTCTAAGTTAAAGTCAAAGTCAAAATCAAATTTAAATACAAATACAGACTCACAATTGAAAAGATATTCATATACATACTAATATTTTAAATTAAAATTTGATTTAAAAATCAAATAAGAAAAATAATACAAATCATAACCTGAACCCAAACCCAAATTAAGATTTAGATACAGCAAGATTTTCAATAGAATAGAAAATGCTTAAGAAATATATTTATTTCTTGAACAAATTAATTGCCAGCTTCATATTGAAAAAAAAATACTCATTTAATACTGATTGTTTATTTCTGATGCAGCCTTCATCTCCATCTCCATCCCCTGCCGCGGATTCAGAAGAAACACGCTTTCCCCACCAGAGGCAGGAGTGGCTTAAACCAGGCAAAAGGAAGTAAGTTGATCCTCCAAAATAATATTGTAAGACGGAAAAGGGCATTAGTAGGTGAATTTCTATATATCACAAAGCTATTAGGACTTGTTGCTATTTGCATGCGACTGTATGGAAGCAAGGAGAGTCGCAAGACCTCAAACCGGATTCATTTACCAATGCTCCGAGAACGGGCATTTACACTGCAAAAATCAGTGAAATTTCTGTTGGTGTTAAAAAAAACACTCTCCAGAGGTGGATTTTTTTTAATTCAGTTTTTTTGGTCGTGTTTGCTGGTAGCATGGACCTATTACGGATGGACATTCAACGTGATTCTTTCTTTGATCCAATGATAGTCACCGCCTTCTGATTATGTGCATCTTAATGAGAACATTCAGCTGTTTTAAAAATAACGACTGCGTAAGCATTTTCGGTCATTGACAAAGGAGCAGTTTCCCTCTCTTGGGTTTTGTTTGGATGGTGTGCTCTGTAAGAGTGTGTCTTAACTAAAAACATCCCCAAAGGGGAGCAGCAAAGTTGAAAAGTAGACGACTTTGGTGATATGAAATTTATTACAACTGATTTGCACACTTTCGCACACACCCATGACCTTATAAAACAATTAGAAGGCCATGATCTTTATAATCCCTGTGCATTGTAACTCTGGAATATCATGAGGAAATAGGGGGAAACCGTTTTTTAATCACAACCTATCCAAATATAACCTCTATCTGGTAATATCAACATGTTTTTCAAAATAAAATACAGTACACGGAACAACAATTTCCGATTATAAGCCAGAACTGCACATCGATTTTCCATGATTTAGGCAAGTTATTATCTTCTGCGCATGTAGATTAACATTTGTAAAATCACTATCTTGATTCTGTCTTGGCTTTTTGGCGGTGACCATCATGAGATCAAAGTGAAGAAACACGTATGGAATGTTCTTGAGACGACATTGACAGAGACAATCACAATGAATTCGTTAAGAAAACGATAAATGTCCATCCGTAATAGGTCCATGCTGGTAGCGACTGCTGACGAAACAACGGAATGTGAGAAAAAACAATGTATTTTGCTTGCAGTGTAAATGCAGCTTATTTGTGATGTCTTCACAATCCCTGAGTGAACTTTACAGCTTATTTGAAACAGGTGGAAATGTCTCAAGTCTTTGTAGATATCAGTGAAGGTATTTCCTGCCGTGTCAATTTCAATGTTCCATCCTTTTGTTCTAGGGGGTAAATTGAAAGATTGAAACAGGTGGGAATGTCTTGAGTAATTGTAGATATCAGTGATGGTATTTCCTGCCGTGTACATTTCAACCTTCCATCCTTTTGTTCTAGAGAGTAAATTCAGGCTCCAGGAGAATTCCTCATGTGTTCATTTCTAGCAATTATCATTCTCTGATGTACCTTACAGGACTTGAAATCAACCATAACTGTGTAAACAAGTTGGAATGTAACCCTCTGACTCAGATTCTCCTCACACTGTCTCGTATGATCTCTTGCCAACATTTTAATTTGGCAACTGGTTTGAATCTAGAAAGTTCCATAAAGCTGTAGAAATTTGAAAAGGATTGATGGGGACAAAAGCATAATAATGAAAACAAATGATTAAAAATTTTATCCTGTGGAATAGCAAATCTATGATATTTTTACATTTAAATATTAAGCAAGAGATGGGTTTTGATGATTTTTACATACAGTGGATGCTTTTCAGGATTTATTAAGTCAAGAAGAACGTTATGCATGGTTTATATTGATTGGAATGAAATTCAAACTGATTTGTTTTCTATGTTTGTATATTTTAGAGACATCAAAGGTAGACCAGAGCAGGACCCAGAATATGATTCAAGTACTCTCTTTGTACCAAAGTCTTTCATGGACAAAACGACTCCTGTAAGTTTCCATTTTCCGCTGAATGAGATTATTTTTGAAATCAACCATTTTGAAATATTCTAATTTCACAGAGTATATTCATGAAAGCGTTTTTCTGAAATTAGAGCTCCTTCATGCCATTTCATTTTTTCTTCTGGTATTCACTTTGCATTTTAATATATATATTTAGGAATCTGTAGGCCAGCTTTTACACAGGCATATATATATATATAAATAAATATAACACAGGCATTCTAAAACAAGCTACAGGTTGCTGGCAAATTTTATATTTGTATTAAAGCAGAAAGAGAGTAGGAGAGAGTAATAGAGAGAGAGAGAGAGAAAGGGGGAGTGAGATTGGGGAGTGGTAGAAAGAGAAGGGGAGTGAGATGGGGAGGAAGAGAGAAGGGGGTGAGATGTTTTTTTTTTTGGGGGGGGGGGGGAGAGAGAAATATTTCACCTGTTTTTTATTGGCTTACTGTATGACCTTATCGCTATAGATTTTGTCATAGCTCTGAATTTGGTATACCTTTGAAAGAAATATTTCATGATGTAACTTTTGTTTTAATTCATTTTCATGCAGGCTATGAGACAATGGTGGGAAATGAAATCCAAGTATTACAATGCTGTCCTCTTCTTTAAGGTAAGCAAAAAGAAATACAACATTATTACATTTTGTCCTGTTTTTCAAATTTGAGTTTTGTATTAAAAGGAAAGTGAAATGATAAAGAGAAGAAATAACCTTTTAGTTTTTAATTTTGGAGCTCTTTGGACCTAACTTTATAACATTTTTTTTTTAAAGATGTGTTTATGGCTTTATGCTCCAATTGTTCAAGACAAGTTTAAAGATTATTTAGAATAGATATGATTTACATTTTGATCTAAGTTGATCCATTGTCAATGGAAACCGAAAGATCCCTGTATTAAACTTTGATAAAGTGCCTCAATGCAAATTATTTCATTCACTTGATACTAATAATTGTATCTATAGTCAGAATGCAAATTGCATATGTTACGTGTTACTAGGTAGGACAAGCCATATTGTTTGTCCTACCTAGCAACAACTAATGTATGTAATTCACATTCTGACTATTGAGATCTAGATATTCTTAACGGGCGAATGAAATAGTTAGTAACAAGGCACTTAACAAAGCTTTGTGCATTAGATTTGATTACATTATGAAAAGGGCATAGGTTACTACGCCCTGTGTCTATTGCAGTGAAGAGGTGTATTTTTTTCCCACTTTTTTTTCTCTGTGCAGATGGGTAAGTTCTATGAGCTGTATCACATGGATGCTGAGGTAGCAGTCAAGGAGCTTGGGCTTATCTTCATGAAGGTGAATAAAACTTTTAAACAATAACAGCAAAACTTTAGTATGAAGATTACAAGGTTGCTGGTCCTTATTAATGAGACTTTAATATTCATGGTGTTCACCGGTTTAATATGTAACATCCTTAATTCATTCCCCCTCTCAAATGTTATCACATCTCAACCATCAGACTTTCAATGCAGGGAGTTTAAGTCAATTTGGTATAATATTTTTGATGATCCCTTCCAAGTAGGATTTTGATAACACATTATATAGTAACCTTATATCCATTAACCCATTGTCTATTGGAACCTAGTGAATCCTGTATTAAAGCCTATGGGAGTGTGAGAATTCAGTAGTTAACAGATACTTTGTAAGGGCTAGTATTGTGTCTGATGTCACCAAAGTCTTCTGTTAAAGGGATAGTTGAGTTCTGTTTTCAGTCCGCAAATGCCTTCAAAGTGCATTGTTATTGCTCTTATTCTTATCTATGACATTTATAGTGCCCTTTTAGAACCTAAAATTGCTATAAAGGTAATTTTAGACCTCAAAATGTGTGAAATTTAGCCAATATGATCATACTAATTTAGCTCCACTTTCAAAAACACATGGTGACTGTTATTTAATTGTTTAATGAAAAATAACAATACATGGGCTGGCTAATTGTGGGTAATATAAGCAACACGAAAATGCCAACAAAAAAGCCAACATCGGCATTGGCTTAAATACGACATAAAAGGCGTTATTTCGTTTTTTTCAACAGTTTTTTCAAATTTTTCAAAATATCTTATATTTGTGGTGGTACACAAGTATTATAAAGCATTATATTTCATCCGTCTCTGAACCGATTTTGATCAAACAAAGATGATTTTGTCATTTAACAGGGAATAATTTCCAGCCAAAAATTTGCATAGCAAATCTGCTACACAAAATAATTTTTGCATAGCAGTTGGATGAACTTGTATAGCAATTTTTTTTTCATGTTATAAATTACAGTGCAAAAACAATGACGTCACAACATCTGGTCATGAATGCATACTTACTACATTTTATGTACATTGATTCTGGTGTAATCTCCCAGCACTTTCTTCATACTCGATCCATTCCCTTTTCTGGTCTAAATCCTTAATCCAACCTTCCACAGTAACTACACGAATTGACACCATGTTTTGAAAATGACAAAAATATCGGTCCAACAATAAATCCAGAGACGAGTCGAGTCTTAAATCGAAATAAATCCAGTAACTTTGAATCGTATCGAGGGTAAACAACAACACGTAGTATTAGCTCGCACATGAGCGCGATTCAGCCTGCCCTGGATATATAATTAGTTCACCACGTGCGTGCATTGTTGTCTGCATCGCAACAACACTCACGGCTAAAAGGTGACCGTAGACACTCATCGCCGATAGTGCGCTATGTAGGTGTGTGTAGCTTCACGGTTAGAAAGTGACTGTAGTACGCTTAGCGCTCAGTGCTGGCCAGCCTGGCCTAGCCAAACCTGCCTGGGATATATGGATCGGATATCGGAGCGTCGAGGGTGTATGTAGTTTGTGGATTGGCGGTCTGTGTATATGAATGTACGTTTCGCTTGCATCGCAGCAATTGCGATTCATGAAAAAAGATGCGTCGCAAATGGCTGAAAATACATCGCGAATTGCGATGCGATACCGGGAAAATTATTCCCTGTTTAAATATTATGTTCTTTCAAATTTGACATTCAGTTTTTCATTATCGCACAAAAAAATTATTTTGTGTAGCGCCCAGGCGCGTAGCCAGAGTTTGATGTTTGGGGGGGCACATACATGTAATCGATCGAGGTCAAAAAAAGGGGTCTACAAAATTTCAACCGATCCTGGAAATTTTAGGGGGGGCACGTGCCCCCCCGTGCCCCCCCCGTGGCTACGCGCCTGGTAGCGCCCTCTGCAACAGAACTCAACTATCCCTTTACACATTGTAAAACATCACACTAAACTGTTCAGAATTTGGTTCCCAACTAAAACCAAACTTAAATGGTTTGCTACATAATACGTTCGACTTCTAACAGAGAATCACCCAATAATTGCCTTCCTCCTCCATTTTTTTTTAAAGGGAGAGAACGCTCATTGCGGCTTCCCTGAGATAGCCTTCAGTAGGTACAGTGAGACGCTGATCCAGAAGGGATACCGCATCGCTAGGGTAGAACAGACAGAGACTCCTGATATGATGCAAGAACGGGTCAAACACTGTAAGTACATGTAGATAATAAAGCTCTACTTTTATTATGTATACTTTTAATGAGGATGATTATCATGATAAAAATACATGTTCGATTTGTATGGAATAGTATTTATATATTTTCCAAATCACAATAAAAATGCAATACAACAAAATAGAAAAGGAGATATAAAATCAAGAATATGGTGAATGGCATAATAGCCCTGTCAGCTTGGTTAGTATGACAAAACTGTCTACATTTGATTTGTATGGTATGGCATTTACATGTATATATTTTCCAAATCACAATAAAAAAGCAATAACACCACAATAGAAAAGTAGATATAAGATCAAGAATATATAGTGAGCGGCCAGATAGCACACTCAGCTTGGTTAGTATGACAAAACTGTATATATTTGATTTGTATGGTATGGCATTTACATGTATATATTTTCCAATTCACAATAAAAAAGCAATAACACCACAATAGAAAAGTAGATATAAAATCAAGAATATATAGTGAGCGGCCAGATAGCACACTCAGCTTGGTTAATATGACAAAACTGTCTACATTTGATTTGTATGGTATGGCATTTACATGTATATATTTTCCAAATCACAATAAAAATGCAATACAACAAAATAGAAAAGCAGATATAAAATCAAGAATATAGTGAATGGCCGGATTGCCCACTCGGCTTGGTTAGTATGACAAAACTGTTTACATTTGATTTTGTATGGTATAGTATTTACATTTATATATTTTCCAATTCACAATAAAAAAGCAATAACACCACAATAGAAAAGTAGATATAAAATCAAGAATATATAGTGAGCGGCCAGATAGCACACTCAGCTTGGTTAGTATGACAAAACTGTATATATTTGATTTGTATGGTATGGCATTTACATGTATATATTTTCCAATACACAATAAAAAAGCAATAACACCACGATAGAAAAGTAGATATAAAATCAAGAATATATAGTGAGTGGCCAGATAGCACACTCAGCTTGGTTAGTATGACATAATTGTTCTTCTTTGGGGTCCAGAAAATCCAAAGAAAAGTAGGAAATTCATTGTATTGACATGACCCTCTGTATAAAAACATTCTTTGGCAACACTCACTCTTAGGTGTTGGTAGCAATACATTTCCTTGAGATTTTAAAAAGTATGAGTAATCACAATATTTGTGAAAGACAAGGAGAAATGAGGAAGATAAAGCATGAGAAGGGAGGAAAGACAGAAAATAGAATTGATATGCAAAATACATGACTGATCATCTAGATTATAGGTGCATAACTCCACCTAAAAATACTGGCTATTATGAAGATGGATCTAAAGGATCGTTGAGCGATATCTTTCTGTTCTAGAATGACATAAAAACACTTTGCCACAAAGAAGTTACAAAACCACAACAAAATATAATTATGCATTATAGCTTTTTATAACACAGAAATGATTTTCATAATTTGGCAATGTTATTATGCACTGTGTATACTGGTAGTCATTTTAAACTACATGCCAAATTTTTAGAAGATTTCATACCAGGAAAGGGTTGATGAAGTTTTAATAAAAATTTGTACATAGCCCATCATGGTTGACAGATTTCGTCGCTGTTTTCACGAAGTGACGGTAGTGAAAAAAAATTGCATTCACTTTGCGTTACGATTTTCCTCACTACCGTCACTTCGTGAAAACAAGGACGATTTGTGCAAGAAAGCATTTTTACCTAATTATTTCTGCTATTAAGTTTCATGTCCAGAACATTTGTAGAAGATCAACTTTTATGAAAGAGCTTTAAAGGGATGCACAAAAATAGATGCAAAATAGTAAAAAGGAGAAGATAGAAGTGGAAAAGAGAGATAAAACACAGAGATGACTTTAAAAAAAAATCTCTAATATTTATTAAAAATGCACACCATTAACCAGTACTGAACTACAGTACAAAGTGTTAAAAGAAAAACGAAATCATACTCTATTACTCTATTCTTTTCCGGAAGTCTAAATCCAACAACTTTTAAACACCAACAACATTGGAAGAGATGAACACAAATGTGGTCACTAAAGTCATGTTCTGAATGATTTGCATAATGCTACACATCATGCTCCAGCACTTCCTTTGCATTAAATGACAAGCATGGATCTTTAATTCCTGCTATCATGCTACCTTGCAGTCTTGCCAACTCCTTTACTTTGCGATAGTACATATGTGCTATGCAAACAGTAATGAAAACTAAAATAAAGATGACTGTACTTAGTGCATGGGTCACTTTCCGGCAAGAATTTTTCTTTTGATTTGCAGGACAATTTGCCGGTGCTGTGACAAAGTTGGAAGATGAAGAAGTTATGTTATCTATGGTTATGCTATCTAGGGTTGATGCTAGATGTTGTGTCACAGACATTACTTCAGGACAGGGATCTGCTATGTCAGAGACACTGTCACTCATTGGATTCCATCCCCAGTCTGTACAGTCACACTTGTCTTTCATCCCAGTTAAGAAAGAAAAGCAGCAATAAACTACACCATCTGACCTAGCTAGGATTATCCGATCTAACTTTCCATCACTTTCTCTCAGAGTTTGCCACAGAGGTAATCTCATGTTATTTTGATAGCATACAATCTGCCCTGACAGAGTGTCTACTAAAGCTGTACATCGCAGAGAAACCCACTCCCCATTGTTAAAATCGTTGGTCAATTCACACCATGCCTTTCCAGGAAGAATATCAACACGTAAACCAATTCTATGAAGGGCTGGTAACATGATACCATTCTTGTATTCAGCGAGAATGTATGTACCCGCATCATTTCTTGAAACTGGGTTGATTGTCAAATGAAGGGAGCAGCTATCACTTCCATTCTCAACATTTATCTTCTGATTCGCCGGCATTGACAAAGATGCTGGATTCTCAGAGCTGTACATTGGGTCTCGAGGGCCATATTGTAATGTTATTTTTGTTTTGTTACAAGAATATGAGAAATCAAGTTTTGCTGTTTCTCCTTCTCGTGATTCTATCTTCACAAGAGGCTACTGTTACCAGAATCAATAAAATGGCGAAAATGCTCATCTTACATCCATAAGGGTCAGCAAACGAGAAGCAGAGATGGCTGAAACTCGGGGAAGTCATCATTATACGTCAATCAGGAAAGTGTCTGTACGATAGGAGATGACGATTTTACATGTGCATGTATAGTAAAGGATGCAGTGTCTTAAATGTTGTCTTTTCGTCGCAGGAAATAGTATATTCAAAGTTGTTGGTGGAAGAAGAGCTCTGTCATCAAAATCTTGTTTTCAGTTCAAAGAGTGGGCTGAAGGAAGATAAGAGTAAAAAAAAAGTATTTTGATGCTGCTCCTCCATTATATTTAACCTTCACAATACACAAGCACATCTCTAAACTATATTTTCTCTTTACAAAAATGTTTAAAAGTAATTGAATTAGGGCCTTTATTAAATACATTTAAATGCAAGCAGTAATATGTCACATTCTTAAGACACATGAATCAGGACAAATAAATGTTTTACATTCTTGAAAAAATTACAAAATTTGGTAATAAAGGATATGAATAATTTAGGTAGAATACCCCAAAGAAAAGTGAAAAATAAGATGTACTGTAATTAAGGTTGTATAAACCGCCCTCGTGTATTAACCGCATCCCTCTTTTTAGGTGGTCTGTCAACGACAGACTACCTATTGTTTTTGTTCAAATTTTCTTTCTTCTTTATTCTTTATTTTTATTTCCTACACTTTTTTGTTAACAGGATAACTCAAGATCCGTTCAGTCAATTTCTTTCAATTTAGGCAAAGTCATAGGTCCTTGTCATGAGACGTGACAGGAACATTTTCAAAGTCATCAAGTCTTCATGACGTCATCCAGGCGCCATTTTGTGTTTTTTCGGTACTTTTTACTCAGGATCATATCTTCATAACGGAAAGGCATTTCTCATTCATATTCAGCACGATCAAGGTCAATATCCGTCGGGTCAATTTCCGGTCAAAAAACGCGCGTGCATGTGTACGTCCGCGCATGAGCGCGCACGCAAAATTTCAAAATGCTCCAAATCATCTCAAAGTCATTTTGGATACGTTTCAGGCGATTTTAAGCATTTCATAAAAATCATGCAAAACACGCATTTTTGCGCGTTTTCGTTGTAGCAGCCAAACGCAAAATAATTCCTCCTAGATTTTTTTTAAAACACAGAATTCCTCATGTTTTCCCGAACAATTTGATACCATGTTTATATTTTTAAGACCATTAATAACGGAATGAGTGTCCGTTTAAAATAAATGTCCGTACGCGCAAGATCTTGTAATATATAGCATATATGGGCAAAAACATGCCTGTACGAAATACATTATAGCTCTTTAGGAAGTCCACAGACCCCCAATTTGGTTTTCATATTTGGATAGAATATGAGTTGGAAATAGGATTTCAGGTCTCATTTGGCCATTATATATATCGTGACATCATCATAATGGCCTTAGAACTCAAAAAACGAATTTGCATATTATGACGTCAGCAAATTTATGGAAAATTGATTGTTTCTCTGTCAATATTGATTAATTTACTTCCAAACTTAGATATGTTGTCGTTGAGACAATTCTCTACAAGATTAGTGCCCATTGTTTTTCATTTTGATGAGGTCATCATGGTGAAAATTTCAATTAAAGGCGACATGACAGAATTTTCTTAATTTGCGTGTTATCTCTATGGAAGGTGAATTTCGTTCACATCATGAATCTACATTACATTAATCTTTGAGCACTTTCTCGCTTATTTGAGCTCTATTTTATCCCAAATTTTGGTATGTTATAGCTGAGACCATGGGCTAAAAAAACTAAAAACTTTTAGTTTGTTGATCAGAAGTTGAGATCATGTCCAAATTTTCACTTGAATGTTGAACTCGCGACTATGCCAAGGCCGTTTGTCAGGTTTGCATGTTAAGTCTATGAGAAATATTTTGGTACATTGGTTAAAGCCCAAGTCCACTCCATTTTTCTAAAATTATAGCTTGTTGTAAATGAATC